AACTATTTCAGTATATTTTATTGGTTATCCAGAAAAATCCAAGGGATACAGATTTTATTACCTTAGTCATAGTACGAGGATAGTAGAATCCGGTAATACAAAATTCTTAGAAAATGATTAAATCAATGGGAGTAAAAAATTTTGAAGGATCAATTTTGATATTGAGGCGATTTAGATTTGAGAAGATCTCAAAGGAAAAGGAAACATACCATTTCTAATGATTATGTGGTATATCTACAAGAATCAAATTATAATATAAGAATAAAAAGATACCTCTTATCATTTTTCATAAGCCATAAAAAGTAACGATTCTGAAAGATAGTATGATGCAATGAAGAAGAATTAAAATTGATGGTCCAGAATGGTATTTGGAAACTCGTTGAATTATCCAATAATTATAAAAGAGTCGGTTGTAAATGAGTTTTTAAGACAAAACATGATTCAACGGGCAATATTGAACGATATAAAACCAAACTTATGACCAAAGGGTTTTCTAAAAAAGAAGGCATTGATTATAATGAGACTTTTTCTTCAGTTTCTAGAAAGGACTCGTTAAGAATCGCATTAGTAGCTCATTATGATCTTGAGTTACATCATATGGATGTGAAAACAACATTTCTGAATGGAGATCTGGATGAGGAAATCTATATGGTACAACATGAAGGATTCATAGAAAAGGGAAAAGAAAGTTGGGCTTGTAAATTTAAAAAATCTATTTATGATCTTAAACAAAATACTAGACAATGATATATAAAGTTTCATAATACTATGATTTGGGTAATAAAATCTGTATCCTTTGGATTTTTTTAGATAACCAATAAAATATTCTAAAATAATTCTTGGATCCAATTTTTTTTCATGTGGATTGATTACTCTTATCTCTGTAAGATACCTTCAAATATGTAAATGTCCCAAACTGAGCTTCCTATCAGTCCATAACTCGAATGTAGTTGATGAAACTGACTTACTAGGAACCCTGTTCAAGATATATATAGCTGTCCTAAGAGCTTCACCCTATATCGACTCAAGTATAAATGAATAACTTATCATACTCCTAACAATATCCATAAGAGTATGATTTCACTTTTCAATAACACCGTTCTGTTGTGACACACCTGATAATGTATATTGAGTACAAATACTCCGTTGTTCTAGGAATCTAGCAAAAGAATTAATATTCTAACCAAATCCATCATATCTGCCATAAAATTTACCACCCGTATCAGATCTGACAATTTTAACTTTTCTATCTAATTGCCTCTCGATCTTATTTATGTACACTTCAAGAGTATCAACGACTTGAGACTTTTCATATATTAGATAAACATAATCATATCTGGACATGTCATCTATAAATGTGATAAAATACCTTTTTTTACTAAAACAAGGAATATAGAGTAGTCCGTAGATATCAGTATGAATAATCTCAAGGAGTTTTTTATTTCTTATGGTATTTTTCTTTATATATTTAGTTTGCTTTCCATTAATGTAATTTATATAAATATCGAAATTAGTAAAGTCTAAATGTTCCAAAATATTATCCTTTACTAATTTTTCAATTCTTTCCTTGGAGATATGCCTCAATCATCGATGCCACAATATAGAAGATCTTTCATTAATGAAATTATGTTTCAATCCAACACTTGATTGCAGGATCAATAATGTCTTTACAAACTCAAAATCAAAATTAATTTTGTATAAACCATCACATAGAATTCCAGAACCAACTTTTATTGAATCATAAAATATATCGAGTTACCATTACAAAAAATAAGATAATATCCTAACTCATCAATTCTAGATAGAGAAACTAAATTTCTAAAAATAATAAGAACACAACACATGTCAATAAGTTCCATCAGATGACCCGTCTCTAAGCGTAGGTAATAAATTCTCACTAATATCACTTTCGCTTTAAGACGATTTCCCAAAATGATGAATCTCTAATGTTCTTTTGGTTTCCGGTTGAAAAAAATCCTTGTATATTATTGGTAACATTATTTGAAGCACCGGAATCAATCTACCAAGTATTAGAAGGAACTTATGTAATGTTTGATTCGAAACATACAAAGGTCGAGTTAATACCTTTCTTTTCGAACCAAGTCTTATGTTTTAATGTAATTCTTCTTCACATGTTCTTTCTTACCACAAAAGAAGTACTTTATTATAAAAGCTTTCTTTTCATTAGTCTGTTTAACATTTTCAGACCCAGCAAATTTCTTTGATGGATGATGTTTCAATTTTCTTTTCTTATTACTAGCTCCTTGAGTGGTAGTCATGACATTATATGAACTTTCCTGTTTTATTCTCAATTCTTTCTGAACACACATGCTAGTTAACTCATTCAAGTCTCACTTATCTTTATTTATATTATAGTGAATCTTGAATTGGTCAAATTGAGAATAAAAGGAATTAAGAATGAACCACACGAGGGAAGATTCATCAATATTTATACCTAATGTTTTAAGTTTTGCATCTTTGTTAGCCATATTGAGGATTGATCATGAATTCCTGGAGTGTCGAGTCGTAGTTAGTTCTTTCATTAGTGTGCCAACTAATGACTTATCAGCATATTTAAATCAGTCTTCAATAACCTTTAAATATTATTGTCCACTAGTTGCAATTGGTAATGAAATCTTTATATTATTTACAATCGTTATTATTATTAACATTAAACTAAGCCTATCATATCTTTCCCAAGCTTTCATTTTATTAACTTGTTTTACAATGCTTTTATCAGTCAAGTTTGTAAGCTTTTCAACAAGCAATGTTAAATCAAGATCTAATACGCACAGTGTGAGTTACACATGTTCTAACAATTCTAAATAATTTGATTCAGATAGTACTATAACACTACAAACATTTGATTCTGAATAACAGTAATGCTTTTAGTTTTTCAAAAATTTGATGGACTATTAATATTATCTATATTACACCATCATAAACTACAAGGATATCCAAAATAGTATTATCTTACCCTATCACATAATTATTTGAAATAGATTTTCTTTTGAGATTATCTAAATCTTTTGTATGTCATTGTGAATATTATTTTCTTAATATTATTTAAAATTAATTTCTTAATATTATTTTATAAGTTATTGGTATAGGTGGCTACAAGACTAATACAATAATATAAAATATAATTTAAAATATCTTATAAATGATAAATTTTTTATTGTAATTCACATCACAAAAGTTTATCATCTTAAGCCACTTTGATAGCTATAAGTCACATAAAATTTAAGGAGATGAATTATAAATAATATTTATCAAATTTATTCAATTTAATTTATGCTAAGTAGTTCAATAATAGAATAACAACCATAATAATTATTGAACATTAATCAGCAAAAAAAAACTCATATGATAATCATGATAATATATAAATCATGCTGAAATATAAATATTATTTCATAATTTTAAATATATATATATATATATATATATATATATATATATATATATATATATATATATAACCAAATGAATATTCAAGTACAATAATTGGATTTTATTTACCATATGTAAAAATATAATCAATAATTTATATGAGAAAACTATAAATATGAATCATAATTTATAATTTTTTAATTATATCCAATCAAATAATCAAAATATAATCATAATTATAATAAATCATATTTATTAATTTTATAATTAAAAATATAAATTAGAATTCTCAATTTCATAAGGGTAAAACTATAAATATTTGACAGGATACAAATTGAAATTATGAGATTTTTAAAGGACAAAACTATCAAAAGATTTAAAGGATATTAATAAAATATATAAGGGCAAAACTGTAATTTGACCAAGGGCAACCTTGTCTGTGCCGTCGCCATCACCTGCACGTGCGACGTTGCCGCCCCGGGGCTGCTTCTGCCCGCGCGGCCGCTGCGGTGGTTCCTGTCAGGGCGTGGCCACCGCTTGGGCGCGGTTGCCCGCGCGTGTGGCCGCTGCTTGCGCGGCTGCCGTCGTCTGCGTACGACCGCCGCATGGACGTGGGTTCTGCCCGCATGCGGACGTCGCAAGGGCACGGACATACCACATAGATTGATGGTATTGCATTACCTCATACCACATTCCCTCGTTAAGCTCCCCTCTGCCAATTGTTCTGGCTAGATGCTCTTCTGATTAAGATTCTAGGATAAAGAAGGGATATACATCTTACTTGTTTCATGAGTTTCCCACCAATATAAAGTATGCAAAGAATTAATGTACACAGTTTTATCTGCTCTAAGTGGTACCACCATCCACCCTCTACAGTAGTGACTTAAGGAATCAAGTAGGGGCACACCTCTTGAATTTCACATATAATTTATGAGTCATTGAAGGGATTCCAATTCTCATCACTCAAAAAAACCTTATATGAGTTCAATGTCAAGTATATGCCCTTGGCTCTTGGCATAATGGTAACATGTGAATGACGTGCCTCTCGTCATGATCTGTAATAGATTTTTATCATATATACTGGGTTACTTGCTGATTGTTGCCAAAGCATTTATCTTTTCTTTTTAGTATATTGAATATTCACTAAAATAATTGGTAGCATTGATCTTTCTTCAGAATCTTATCGGCACTTGTGAATCTTACGCATTTTTTGGGGCAATGGTGCAGATTTTTCAAGTTCTTGGAAGAGAGTTTCCTGTTGACGGTTCAACCAAATTCTTCTAATTCGGCTTATAGATGATCACATTCATCTAAAGTTTTTGAAATTATTTCTTGCATATATATTATCGCAAATTACAATTATGGTCTTGGATACTGCTTTTATGCATTTATAGCACTAGAAGTGGAGATAATTTTTTTTCCCGAGTGCAACTTTTAAAAAAGTCGGATAACATGCTTGTCAACTTTTTGTCCCTCTTATGATGGAAATTGAGTTTTGTTGTTTAGCATATTGTGTAAATTTTATGACCATATTGTTAGAAAAAGAAGTCCAGTAACAGTGTTGTATATCTACTCTATACACTTGTTAACCACGTCCATTAATACAGGGTTTAACGTTGAGACTGTAGAGTATAAAAATATTAGCTTCACCGTCTGGGATGTTGGTGGTCAGGATAAGGTACATCCATAGATCTCTAAAATTTTTCTTATTATGCATGATAAATGGCTAATTTTTGCCTTCTTAGAATGTACCTGTTTTAATGATGCAGACAAGTGTTGAGTTAGGAAAATAGGTGTAATAATTGACATTGAATAATTTAATGACACTGAAATATACTATTTCTGATCGTTAATTAAGAAAATTAAACACTACTAAAATTTCTTTTAATGTATAAAATTCTTGTGAATTATCATTGGCCCATCTATGTATCCTTTTATAGTTTGACTGAGGTTCTGGTAATCTGGCCATGTGATAACAGATCAGACCTTTATGGAGGCATTGCTTCCAGAACTCCCAGGGTCTAATATTTGTTGTTGACAGCAATGGCAAAGATCGTGTGGCTGAAGCAAGGGATGAGCTTCAAAGGATGCTTAATGAGGTAGTTCTCCATGCATAATGCCTCTAATCTTTTATCTTTGATATTGACTTGTCTTTATTTAGCAGCGACTATAAAGCTGACATAATTGGATGTACTATTTATTTGCATATGGTAATGGCTTGCATGTTATACTAAAATTAGATATGTCAATCCACTTGATTAAAATTGATATTTGTAACCCAGAAATATTCCTCCGTCAAATAAATTTTTGTTAACTAGTGAAAATATCACACTCACAGGGGCTGTTCTTGTGTTTTCTACAATTTCCATCATAAACAAATTTTGATACCTAAAGAACATTGTTGCATACAATCTTTATCACCATATCTTGTTGGATAGAAACAGCATTAGATCTATATGCCACCTAAGCTTACTTTTTTTTTAACCTCTTAGCTTACTTAACCATAGGGTAAACAGTCTCACAATGGCCCCTTAAATTGACTCCATCTCAATCATGTACCATCCTAGAAGGAAATTATTTAGTAAGTCTCTTATAAATATAAAACCGAAAGACAAACATATACTTGATCGGGTATGTGATCTTTAAATTTACCAATATATTTTGTGTATTTTGATTGTGATGATTTGTCTGTTTTTAATGTTGGGCTGACAACCGAAAGTGAGTACAGCCCATGGTGAGCTTTATCAGTCCATAGTTCATATCCTCTCTTAACCTAATCCTAGGTCAATATAAGGGGGGTGTGGTGGCTGCATTTTGGAAAAAGGAGGTGGCTGTGTTTTTTGGGTAGAAAAGGGCAGCAACGTGGTGATCTTCACAGTAGTAAAGAAGAGAAGAAAAAGGCAGAAAAACAAGAGAAAGAAAGGGAAGAAAATAAGGACAATGCAGAGAGACTATTCTCATTCATCTAGTAGTGTTCTCATCTCAGGTTAGATTAAATCTTCAGTAGACTCTTGCTGTGATTACTTGGGGAGGTTTTAGATATTGTAGGCAGTGACGTGATCCTTGTATCCCAGTTATTCTCTTGTGATTGTTGCTAGGGTTTAGGGCAAGAGATTGAGATTTGTATATTCATTATTCTCAATCTAGTAGTGTTCTCATCTCAGGTTAGATTAAATCTACAGTAGACTCTTGCTGTGATTACTTGGGGAGGTTTTAGATATTGTAGGCAATGACGTGATCCTTGTATCTCAGTTATTCTCTTGTGATTGTTGCTAGGGTTTAGGGCAAGAGATTGAGATTTGTATATTCATTATTCTCATAGTGGATTATCTCTAGTTTGCCCCGTGATTTTTACCCTTCACATTGAAGGGGTTTTCCACGTATATTTTAGTGTTCTATTTGGTTGTGGTTCCATTTAATTCCGCTGCGTATTATGGCCTACTAGTATTTGTTCATATACAAAGGTTATTCCTACTTATATCCCAATCAATTGGTACCAGAGTAGAGGTTTTAGTGATTTAAATTTTGTATTTGAACATGGAGGCCAGTAATGTTTCTCGCATGATTAGTTTAAATGGAAACAATTGAATGATATGGAAACCAAGAATGGAAGATCTCTTGTATTGCAAAGATTTGTATGGACCTTTGCAGGGGGATAGTGCAAAACCCATAACTATGACAGATGATGAGTGGAAGAGGTTAGATCGAAAAACAATTGAATTTATTCGATAGTGGCTTAAAACAACTGGCAACAAAGCTTTTTTGATCAGAAAACTTGTGAACCTAAAATATAGAGAGGGTGCTTCTATTGTTAAACATTTAAATGAAATACAAAATATTACTAACCAGTTATCCTCTATGAAAATGTCTCTTGATGATTAGCTGCAGGCATTGTTACTTCTCAGTTCATTACCAGAAAGTTGGGAGACACTAGTGGTTTCCCTCAGTAATTCTGTGCCAAATGGTGTTGTCATTATGAGTCAATTAACAAGCAGTTTGTTGAATGAGGAGTTGAGAAGAAAGAGTTCGGCAACATCTTAGAATGATTCATAGGCACTTATCTTAAAGAACAGAGGAAGGTCAAAGTCTAGAAGCAGTTCATGCATGGGTAGAAGCAAGTCAAGATCAACAAAAGATATTGTTTACTATAATTGTGGTGAGAAAGGACATTACAAGAACCAATGTAAGCAACATAAGAAGAGCAAGAAAAAGGGAAAAGAAGTGGAGTCTATAGAGTCAAAAGATAATATCACAACTACAATGCAGGATGGTGATTATTTGATTTTGTCTTATTCTGATGATATTTTTTCTTGTGTGTGTTAGGATCTTGAGTGGGTGATTGACATAGGTGCTTCTTATCATGCTACACCACGGAGGGAGTTTTTTGTTACATACAGGTCTGGAAATTTTGGTGTTGTCAAGATGGGCAACTATAGCACAACAGACATCATAGGCATGGGTGATATCCATTTAAAGACCAACCTTGGCTGCAAGTTGGTGCTTAAGGATGCGAGACATGTGGTTGACTTGAGGCTGAATTTAATTTTAGTTGGAAGGCTAGATGATGAAGACTATGATAGCAGATTTCATAAAAGGCAATGGAAGCTCAGTAAGGGTTCTCTTGTTATAGCTAATAGAAAGAAATGTCATACTTTGTATAGGTTGCAGGCTAAAGCTTATGGTGAGCAGTTAAATGTTACAGAAAAAGACTATAGCATGAAGTTGTGGCATAGGCGACTGGGACACATGAGCGAGAAGGGGCTGCAAGCTCTTTGCAAGAGAGGTATTACCAGACCTCAGACATTTTCATAGAGGATAACTGGTTAGTAATATTTTGTATTTCATTTAAATGTTTAGCAATAGAAGCACCCTCTCTATATTTTAGGTTCACAAGTTTTCTGATAAAAAAAGCTTTGTTGCTAGTTGTTTTTCTTTCATAGAGACTTTCTAACTTTTTCTAAAGAGAATATGTAGAGATTTCAGTAGAAACATAGTGAAAGACACTATCGTCAAGCCACTATCGAATAAATCCAATTGTTTTTCGATTTAACCTCTTCCACTCATCATCTGTCATAGTTATGGGTTTTGCACTATCCCCCTGCAAAGGTCCATACAAATCTTTGCAATACAAGAGATCTTCCATTCTTGGTTTTCATATCATCCAATTGTTTCCATTTAAACTAATCATGCGAGAAATATTACTGGCCTCCATGTTCAAATACAAAATTTAAATCACCAAAACCCCTACTCTAGTACCAATTGATGGGGATATAAGCAGGAATAACCTTTGTATATGAACAAATACTAGTAGGCCATAATACGCAGCGGAATTAAATGGAACCACAACCAAATATAACACTAAAATATACGTAGAAAACCCCTTCAATGTGAAGGGTAAAAACCACGGGGCAAACTAGAGATAATCCACTATGAGAATAATGAATATACAAATCTCAATCTCTTGCCCTAAACCCTAGTAACAGTCACAAGAGAATAACTGGGATACAAGGATCACGTCACTGCCTACAATATCTAAAACCTCCCCAAGTAATCACAGCAAGAGTCTACTGTAGATTTGATCTAACCTGAGATGAGAACACTGCTAGATGATTGAGAACAGCCTCTCTGTGTTGTCCTTGTCTTCTTCCCTTTCTTTCTCTTCCTTTTCTGCCTTGTTTTCCTCATTTTCTTTGGAATCCCATGGCCATTTCCTTCTCCCACGTTATTGCCCTATTATACCTTTTTCTACCTCCGAAACGTAGCCACCACACCCTCCCTAATGTTAATTAGGGTTAGATTAAGAGGGGATGAGCTGTGGGCTGTCCAAGCCCACTATGGGCTGAATTTATGGGCAGTCAGCCCAACATAGCATGATACCAAGTTAGACACATCATAAATTAGAATCATCAATCGAATATTATGTTAGATTAATGTAATAAGTAATTTGCATTAATCTTAATGTCTCAAGGTTCAATTGACTTTTTATGTTCGAGTAATGATCGATGATCCTATATAACTGTCACACAAATTAAATACTCATTTATGATTATTACTAAAAAGTCATTATAAAAAATCTCAACTATATCTCCCTAGCTAAAATTGTACTTATTTCTTCAAACCCACTTTTAGTATCAAAGTAATTATTGTCGAACATGCCCTTGATTCATTTCTATAAAAAATTAAGATACTTTCTAACATTGAAGTTTGTGATAATTTCTCTTATTGGACTTGGTTAGCTGTGGATCCCAACAAGTTAAGCAATTAAATCTATCATAATAGAAGTAATTCATAAGACTAATGATTGAATGATTTATTCTATCTATGTGGACAATAGACCAGTAACAATTTATTTTATAGTTTTGGATACTCTTTGCATGCAAAACATACATAAAGACTGTATATTGATGATTCGTATGAGCCTATTTATTCCATTTGTTTGTTTGTTTGTTAACATTATTGATGTGAGACCTATCGACAACATGGATGACAGGATCAAAGTTAAAGCTGTCCAACAATGGGAGAGAATGGTATCCCTTAAAATTTACAAGTCCAAACCTTGGGCTTATGTATGTACATCTTTCCAACTTGAACTTACCCAATCCAATTCCTATAATCCCAATACATAGTGTTTGGAAAAACATGTTAAAGTGAAATATTCTTTTCCCCCTTTGTGTATTAAAATGGGTTCTTCATCAAAATACCAACTTGACATCTAAATGAAAATATCAACCAGCACAGTATAAACAATAGAGCAAAAAATCAATCACACAGTGAGACCAAATCTTTTAACGTGAAAAACCCTGGAAAAAATCACGGGATCGTAGTCCACCTCAAACTTCCACTATCAATAGTAATGATAACATGTTTACAATAGATCTTCTCTAGAATAACTAGAGGATCACAATAACATCAAGATCATAGATCTTGGCTCAAGAATAGCATATCTTCATCACATAGGGTGGATCTACTCATAAAAGAATTCTAGGTCTCACAAAGTGGATATAGTAGGAAAGTACCTTAGAGAGGGTAAACTGTAGATCAACACCATTAGGATTGTAGAGTTTGTTGCAAGGATTCTCTATATAAAATTTGGGCCAAAACTGACAACGTGTTGTCACGGACTAAGCTAGTTTTGCCTAAGTCATGCGGCACCCTTGCGTATCCGTCCGTAAAGGTCAACTTCCCCGAAGCCTCCCATTGTCCCTTAGGACCAACAAAAGAGAGAACGGGTTAGAGAGAACGCCTCAATCGGGATCCACAAGCAAACATCTCTGAA